TGGAGTGCAGTGGCACGATCTTGGCTCACTGCAACCTCTGCCTCCCAGGTTCAAGTGATTCTCCTACCTCAGCCTCCCAAGTAACTGGGATTACAGGTGTGTTGAGACAGTGTTTCACCATGTTGGCCAGGCTGGTCTCAAACTCCTCACCCCCGTTGTCCACCCCCCTGGACCTCCCAAAGTGCCGGGATTACAGGCGTGAGCCACTGTACCCAACTACGGTAGTTACTTTAATGTCATTATCTACTTATTCTAGTATCTGGGTCATGTGTGAGTTTGTTTCTCTTGTATTTTTTTGATAATCATGTGTATGTTTTTGCCTCTTGGCATGCCTAGTTTGAATCCTAGACATTGTTTAAAAAAATTGTAGACCTCCAGATGACATTATTTTCTTCCTGAAAGGATTTAAGTCTCTCTTCTGCTGTGCAGGAGGAGTGTGGGCTGCTTACCTTCAGGTACTGAGCTGAATTGAGGCTGGGTTACAGTTTTCTCATTTTTAAAATTTTTATTTTCTTGTGCCAACACATCTGTGAGTTGCAGTTTTAAAAAGGCTCTCTATTAAATTCATCCTTTTTTTTTTTCTTTTTTGAGACAGAGTCTCAATTCTGTTGCCCAGGCTGGAGTGCAGTGGTGTGATCTCAGCTCACTGCAACCTCCGCCTCCTGGGCTCAAGTGATCCTCCTGCCTCAGCCTCCTGAGTAGCTGGGACTGTAGGCATGAGCCACCACTCCCAACTAATTTTTGTATTTTTTTGTAGAGATGGGGTTTCACCATGTGGCTCAGGCCAGGCTGGTCTTGAAGTCCTCGGCTCAAGTGATTCTCCCACCTTGGCCTCCACAAGCGCTAGGAGTATAGGTGTGAGCCACCGCATCTGGCCTCACCTTTGTTTCTTTCTTTCTTTCTTTTTTTTTTTTTTTTTTAAACACAGAGTTTTGCTTTGTTGCTCGGGCTGGAGTGCAATGGCATGATCTTGGCTCACGGCACCTTCCACCTCCCAAGCATTTCTCCTGCCTCAGCCACCCACGTAGCTGGGATTATAGGTGCTCGACACCATGCCCAGCTAATTTTTGTATTTTTAGTAGAGACGATTTCATCATGTTGGCCAGGCTGGTCTCAAACCCTTGTCCTCAGGTGATCCACCTGCCATGGCCTCTCAAACTGTTGGGATTACAGGCATGAGCCACGGTGCCCAGCCCCCTTGTTTCTTAATTGTAACCCTCCAAGTCTTTCAACCAAGAACCTTGAGTGTTAATTAGGTGTCTACCTCCAACAGGTACTGACTTTCAGATCTTGTCTCCTCAGCATAAAACTTTGTTCTTCATGTCATAGGCTTTTTCCTCCTTAGTGTACTAGTTCCCTGTTGCTGCTGTAACAAATTATCACAAACCTAGTGCTTTAAACAGCACAGATATATTATTTACAGTTCTGCAGATCAGAAATCCAAAATGGGTTTCTCTCAACTAAAATGGAGATGTCAGCAAGGCTGCGTTCCTTCTGGAGGTTCTCAGATAGAATCCATTTCCTCATCTGCTCCAGTTAGAGGCTGCCTGAATTCCTTAGCCCATAAGCCTTTCCTCTGCTTTCAAAGCCAGCAGAACAGCATCTTCAACTCTCTCTGACTCTGACCCACCTGCTCCCTCTCTCTCTAAGGACCCTTGTGATTAAATTGGGCCCACCCAAATAAGCCAGGATAATCCCCCATTTCAAGATCTTACTTTAATCAAACATATGCAAAGCCCTTTTTGTCCTGCAACGTAACATTGCCACAGGTTGTAAGGGTTGGGACATGGGCATATCCTGTGGGAGGCATTGTACTGCCCAGGACACTTAGTTCTTCAGATTCCTACTTACAGTTTTATAATTCAGCATGTCTTAATAGGAAAACCTACCATGTGATAGGCTCAGTTGTACTTTCTCCTTTTTTATGGAATCTTGTTCCCCCTAGATTCTCATTTTACCCCCTTAGCTTTGTTAAGATGCCAACTCTTCTGGGCATGGTGGCTCACTCCTGTAATCCCAACATTTTGGAAGGCCGTGGCAGGCAGATCACCTGAGGTCAAGAGTTTGAGACCAGTCTGGCCAACATGGTAAAACCCTGTCTCTACTAAAAATACAAAAATTAACCGGGCGTGGTGGTGTGCGCCTGTAATCCCAGCTACTCGGGAGGCTGAAGCAGGAGAATTGCTTCAACCCAGGAGGTGGTGGTTGCAGTGACCCGAGATCACGCCGCTGTACTCCAGCCTGGGAATGGAGCTAGACTCCCATCTCAAAAAAAAAAAAAAAAAAAATTAGCCTGGCATGGTGGTGCACGCCTGTAATCCCAGCTACTTGGGAGGCTGAGGCATGAGAATTGCTTAAACCGGAGAGACAGAGGTTGCAGTGCGCCGAGATTGTGCCGTTGCACTCCAGACTGGGTGACAGAGCAAGACTGTCTCAAAAAAAAATTAATAAAAAATTTTGAAAAAGTAAAGACTGCCAACTCTCCAACTAGTTTCTTTTTCCCTCAGTAATTGGTTCTCTACCTGGGCAAGGCCCAGATCCTCAGCATCAAACCCCGTGCCCTGAATTCGCAAATGCCCCAGGAAAAAAATCTGCTGCAGAATATCAGCCTACCTCCTGGAGTTCACCTCTTTCTGGAATTTTCACTCCTCTAGGCCTCTCTGCTTTGGCAGCTCTCCAATTCATTTGATCAGCTTTTCTTACTGTTCTCAGTGGGAGCATTATTAGCTTGCTGCAAACTGTACCATTACACCTCTTCCAAGACACACCTATAATCCCAGCACTTTGGGAGGCTAAGGTGGGCAGATTGCTTGAGCTCAGGAGTTTGAGACCACCTGGCCAACATGGCGAAACCCTGTCTCTACAAAAAATGCAAAAGTTAGCCGGGTGTGGTGGTGCATGCCTGTCATGCCAGCTACTTGTAAGGCTGAGGCAGGAGAATCACCTGAACCTGGGAGGTGGAGGTTGTGGTGAGCTGAGACTGTGACGCTGCACCCCAGTCTGGTTGACAGAGCAAGACTCCCTCTCAAAAAATAAAAATAAAATAGAAATAAATAAAGGAATTGGGGTCTCACTATTTTGTATTTTTGTCTCAAAAAAAAAAAAAAAAAAAGCCTCCTCTCTTTCTCTTGTGGTGTGAGCTTGATTCTGCTGCTTGTCATGTCTTCTCACAAGTCTTTTAAGATTAAGCGATTCCTGGCCAAGAAACAAAAGCAAAATTGTTCCATTCTCCAGTGGATTCAGATGAAAACTGGTAATAAAATGAGGCACAACTTCAAAGGAGACATTGCAGAAAAGCCAAGCTGGGTCTGTTAAGGAACTGCATGAGATGACGCACACATTTATGCTGTGTCAGGGCTACGACCATCTTGGCGCCTCAAGCTGAAAACGTCACCACGATCTGCACAGTTGGATGTGTTTTATTGGGAACATATCTTCCTCTTTGTTTACATGCTCTGACATAGTAGGCTGGGTTCAGAAATAAATATGTGAGACCTTTTGTTTCAGAAAAAACCACCAATATAGTAAGATATATGTATGTCTTTCTCTGTAGGTGTGGGCTGTGAACTGCCTGGGTTCAAGCCAAGCTTTGTCACCTAGTATGACCTTGGTCAGTTAATTTCTCTAATTCTCAGTTTTCACATTCACTAAATGGGTATAATTATAGTACCTACCTCACAGGATTCAGTAAGTTAATACATGTAAAACACTAAGACTGGTGAATGGCACAAAGTAAGTGTTCAATAAGTGTTTGCACAATAAATCATACACATGAAAGGTAAAACATTTGTAATTTTTTTTCACTTAACATTATTATTTTTTTCAGACAGAGTCTCATCTGTCACCCACGCTGGAGGGCAGGGGCACAATCTCAGCTCACGGCAATCTTTACCTCTGGGTTCAGGTGATTCTCCTGCCTCAGCCTCCCGAGTAGCTGGGATTACAGGCATGTGCCACGATGCCCTGCCAATTTTTGTATTTTTAGTAGAGACAGGGTTTTGCCATGTTGGCCAGGCTGGTCTCGAACTCCTGACCTCAGATGATTCGCCCACCTCAGCCTCCCAAAATGCTGGGATTACAGGTGTAAACCACTGCACCTGGCCTATTTTTTTCACTTAACATTATACTGTGAATAGCTTTTCATGTACTTGGAATTTTTTTTAAGAGCCAGGGTCCTGCTGTGTCTCCCCGACTGGAGTGCAATGGCTGTACAGATGTGACTATGGCCTTACCACAGCCCTGAACTCTGGGCTCAAATGGTACTCGCTGCCGCAGCCTCCCAAGTAGCTGGGACTACAGGGACACATCACTGTGTCTTGTAAAACTTTTCTTTAAGTCTACATGGAATTTCATTGCCAGAAAATATCATAGTTTCTTTTTTCTTTTTTTAATCCTGAGAAATACTAGAATTTCATTTACCAATCCAGTCCTACTGGGGCATTTAAGTTGTTTCCATTTTTAATTGGCTTTCATTTTGACTAATATTTTTTCTTACCCAAGAATTGCAGAGAGGAGAATAGCCAATTTAGAGGTAGGTTAGCATTCTTAGAGATATTTCTGGAGTTATAATTAGAAGACTGAATTCTAGTTCCATGTTTGCTCCTTTTTCTGGGACTCTATACGGTGATGAGGGTGGACTAAATCTGTTGGGCTCTTTCTACACTTTCCTTCTACTATTATTGTGTAGGTGCCGAGGTCATTAAACGTCACATGCAAACCTCTAGTACTGATCCCCGTAGCCATCAGGCAGGGTCTGAGGCTGTGAGAGTCCCTGGCTGGTCACCTCTAGCTGCAAGCAGCTTCATCTGACTCTAGTCTCTCCAGTTTACCCAGTATACTCTCTGGTACAAATACAATATTCTTTGGGTACCAACCTGTGAAAAGGTTTGGAAGTACAGATCTATGAGAATGTATTAAGGAACACTTTTTTCCTACGGCAGATATGTGTAGTTTTGGTCCTTGTTATATTGTTGATAATTCTTCATTCTTGGATTTTTTAGCATGGCTTCTCGCTGTTTCTGGGATGCTGACACTGACAACTATACCCATGATGTTTTCATGAATGTAAGTGTATTTGGAAACCTCTTTTTCCTGTCTAAGGACAAATCAAACTACTTAATATTTAATAGGATGTAAAGACACTGCAGTCTCAGCCATTCACCATTGACATCTGGATGAGATGATTTGACTTAATTTTTGGGTTACTAAAGCAGAGACCTGGTGTGCTACTTACAGACAAGGAAACTTGTATGTTTACATATGACATGATTTTCCATGGGTTTGAATTTGGGAATAGCATTTATTTAGTTAGCATATTACTTAAAAATGATTTTCAGCTACTTCCTCCATAAATCATTGTGTTCTAAAACCCAATCCTGACGGTCCTTATTAAAGTAGTAATTGAGAACTACAGTGTTAAAATCACACACTTGTTCATTTGAACAAATCATACTTTGTTAAGTTGCAAACAAATTTGGATGGCAGGGATTCCATGAGCAAAGGTGGTTTTTCTTTTAGTAATAAAATTTATTTATCTTAAAGCCATTGATTAAAATTAAGCACAAATAGGCCGGGCGCAGTGGCTCAAGCCTGTAATCCCAGCACTTTGGGAGGCCGAGGCGGGTGGATCACGAGGTCAAGAGATCGAGACCATCCTGGTCAACATGGTGAAACCCCGTCTCTACTAAAAATACAAAAAATTAGCTGGGCATGGTGGTGCGTGCCTGTAATCCCGGCTACTCAGGAGGCTGGGGCAGGAGAATTGCCTGAACCCAGGGGGCGGAGGTTGCGGTGATCCGAGATCATGCCATTGCACTACAGCCTGGGTAACATGAGTGAAACTCCGTCTCAAAAAAAAAGAAAATTAAGCACAAATAGAGTAATCTTTAAAAAGAGGTTTCAGGCTGGGTAAGGTGGCTCATGCCTGTAATCCCAGCACTTTGGGAGGCCGAGGATCACTTGAGGTGTGGAGTTTGAGACCAGCCTGGCCAATATAGCGAAACCCCATCTCTCCTAAAAATACAAAATTAGCCAAGTGTGGTGGCGGGCACCTGTAATCCCAGCTACTCAGGAGGTTGAGGCAGAGAATCGCTTGAACCTGGTAGGCAGAGATTGCAGTGAGCTGAGATCATGCCACTGTACTCCAGCCTGGGTGACAGAGTGAGACTCAGTCTCAAAAAAAAAAAAAAAAAAAAAAAAAGTTTTCATTAACATTGGTAATTTATTGGCGGAAATGTTTTATATATTTTAATGATACATTATGATTTTTTATTTACTCCAGAAATGATCACATCCTCTTCATCTACTCCCAGGTTGTGAATACATAAGAGTCAGAATAGAACAGAAATGAGATTGAGAGAGAGAGGCTGGATGCGGTGGCTCGTGCCTGTAATCCCAGCACTTTGGGAGGCCGAGGTGGGTGAATCACTTGAGGTCAGGAGTTTTGAGTCCAGCCTGGCCAACATGGTGAAACTCTGTCTCTACTGAAAACACACACACACACACACACACACACACACACACACACACACGCCAGGTATGATGGTGCACACCTGTAATCCCAGCTATTTGGGACCTGAGGTAGGAGAATCGCCTGAACCCAGGAGATGAAGGTTGCAGTGACCTGAGATTGTGTTATTGCCCTCCAGCCTGGGCGACAGAGTAAGACTCCATCTCAAAAAAAAAAAAAAGTAAAAGAAAAAAGGGGGTTCCATTTTCTAATTAAATGACTTTAGGGAAGTAATTGGGTTTTTCTCACATTGTATCAGTAACATTAGGAAGCTGAAGTACATTTTCCCAAAGACTGGCTGTGACTGCCTGAGGATAATTTGGGGGGTTTAAAATATGGATGCTGGGACCCTATTCAAATAGATCCTGATCAAATAAGCCAAGGGTTGGATCGGTGAATCTGAATTTTTAAAACGTTCCTCACACGATTCTGCTGATGGCCAGATATGGAAGCTGCTTATGTAGATGATTTTAAGCTAGCTTTTAGTTCTAAAATTCCATGGCCTCAAGCAAAGTTTTATTTTATGCTCAACTACCCAAGGGATCAGGAGCTGGACAGTGGGAAGTACTAGACAAATCTTCATTTGTCAGCTGTCTTTGGGGGAAGAGTCAAGCTGAGAAGATGAATTTTTGTGCTTCTTGGAGTTAAAAATGCATCTTTTTTTGTTTGTTTGTGTGGAGACGGTCTCTGTCACCCAGGCTAGAGTGCAGTGGTGCGATCTTGGCTCACTACAACCTCTGCCTCCCAGTTTCAGGCAATTCTGCCTCAGCCTTCCGAGTAGCTGGGACTGCAGCTGCATGCCACCACACCTGGCTAATTTTTTTAGTAGAGACGGGGTTTCACTATTTGGTCAGGGTGGTCTTAAACTCCTGACCTCAGGTGATCTGCCCCTCCTTGGCCTCCCAAAGCGCTAGGATTACAGGTGTGAGCCACCTTACCTGGTTGAAAAAAAAAAAAAAGCATCTTTAGATGATACAATTCATTCATTCAGCAAACAGTTCTGAGCTCCTATTATGTGTCAGCTTCTGCACTCAAGGGGCTAGGATAAAGTGATGAATGAGACCCGCATGGTTTCTGCCTGTAGAGAGCTTAACATCCAGTGGGGGCCTCTCAATACTCAAACAAATATGTAGTAAAAAACTTTACTTAACAATTATTCCTTTAATAGGATTGTCAGGATTGAGTTTTGCAACACAGGATTGGTGGAGGAGGTAGCTAAACATCATTTTTGATAGCTTGCTTTAAGTTGTTTAGTCTCCACTATCTTTAGTCCAGTTTGTTGAGTTGGGTGTTTATTATTATTTTTTGAGATGGAGTCTCATTCTGTTGCTCAGGATGGAGAGCAATGGTGCAATCTCTGCTCACTGCAACCTCTGCTTCCCCGGCTCAAGCTATTCTCCTGCCTGAGCCTCCCAAGTAGCTGGGACTACAGGTGCCTGCCACCACGCCTGGCTAATTTTTGTATTTTCAGTAGAGACAGGGTTTCACCATGTTGGCCAGGCTGGTCTTGAACTCCTGACCTCAGGTGATCCGCCACCTTGGCCTCCCAAAGTGCTAGGATTACAGGCCTGAGCCACTGCTCCCAGCCGAGCTGGGTATTTATTTAGGTTTTATTTTCAGAGCTTAAAACACTTTATTTGGATGCCAGGCGCGGTGGCTTACACCTGTAATCCCAGCACTTTGGGAGGCCGAGGCAGGCGGATCACCTGAGGTCAGGAGTTCAAGACCGTCTCTACTAAAAATACAAAAATTAGCCAGGCATGGTGGCAGGCACCTGTATTCCCAGCTACTCGGGAGGCTAAGGCAAGAGAATTGCTTGAACCCAGAGGGCAGAGGTTGCAGTGAGCCAAGATCGCACCACTGCCCTCCAGCCTGGGTGAGACAGTGAGATGCTATCCCCACCCCACCCCCCCACACACAAAGGGCACTTTATTTGGGAGATTCCAGGAAACATGAGTAGAGGCTGAGGAAATGAGAGAGGAGAGAAAATCATGTGCCATTGAGCAGAAAACTGCTGTAGATAACAGGGCTCAGTCCCGCTGGAGAACTCTGGGTGGTGCTATAGAACAGTGCCACTCCAGGTGGGGCCCAGAGACCAGTGGCACCCTGTGACCCGTTTGTTACAGGTCCATGATGAGCTTAGCACACACATTGAGTGTAAGGGTTTAGAAACTCTTACAGCAATTTGACAAAGTAATTTTATGTCCAGTGAATCTAAGAAAAAAAATTGGGGCTGTATTTTATATGTTCCTTTTTTTCATTTCATTTTTTGTTATCCATTTTTACTGGATTTTATAAAAGCATCCTTCCACGAGGGACTGGAAGCTAAAATGAAAACAAGAGCAGGTCCTTTATCACAGCACTGTTGTAGAGCACAGTTCAGACTTAACCGCCCAAGGAGCCAGGGCACTGGGCTAAACCAAAGAATTTTGCTTTTGGTGAATAATCAGGTCCTTGAGTTGAGATTGCTTTGATCTCATTACCAGGCTAGAGGTGAGGTTGGTGGTTCAGGAGTTGCCGAGGCAGGTGGAAATCTTGTAATAAGTGCCTAAAAAGTGTTTTAAGCAATTTGACTGGGCTCTGGAAAGCATTTTGTGATTCTGAACTAGAAGGTGGACAAATTTTATTAATTAAGAACAAACACCCAGAGACTATTTCTCTTATCCAGAATTTATGACAAGGTTCTGCTGTTTTTACAATCAGTGATACTATAACATGGTTTCTTGAGATGAGTAGTGCAATTTACTCCAAGAAACTCAAACATTTCATACATTCTTTCTGTGATAAATCAGGAAATACGTGAATAGTTATTTTAAGATTGAATATGTATTACCTAAAGTTCGTTAGTTCGCATTTTATTTCTACATTCAGAACATCTAATTCTTTGCCCATCTTAACCTTTTATCAAGCAATAGTATAGCTATCCTCTAGAAACCCTTCACTTCATGAAGAAGGAAAAAGTCTTCATGATTGAAAATTGGTGGCTGGGTGAGGTGGCTCATGCCTGTGATGCCAGCACTTTGGGAAACCAAGATGGGTGGATTACTTGAGCCCAGGAGTTCAAGACCAGCCTGGGCAACATAGTGAGACCTCATCTTTTGCAAAAAATAAAATTAGCCTGGTGTGGTGGCATGCACCTGTGGTCCTAGTTACTCTGGAGGCAGAGGTGGGAGGATTGTTTGAGCCCAGGATGTTGAGGCTGTAGTGGGACGAGATAACCACTGTATCCCAGCCTGGGTGATAGAGTGAGACCCTGTCTGAAGAAAAAAAAAACAAAAACGAAAATTGGTAAAGATCTGAGATAGTGTGTTTCAATTGCCCATGCTGCTCTTATTCCTCTTCAGTACTAACATTCTGTGTGTGTGTGTGTGTTTTGTTTTTTAGGACAGTTTATTCTGCGTTGTAGCAGCATTTGGCTGTTTCTACTACTGAATGAATCTTTGAAAAGCTGGGAAAAGATGTGACCATGAAGAAACCTGAACTTTTTAATATCGTTAAATATCTTGACAAAATAAAGATGTTAGTAGTTTGACAACAGAATCTGTTGTTTTAGGCCTCATATTTTTAATGTTTTGATTTTGTTATACTATGGTATTTTTTTTTTTTTTTTTTTTAGATGAAATCTCACTCTGTTGCCCAGGATGGAGTGCAGTGGCACGTTCTCAGCTCACTGCAACCTCCAGCTCCTGGGTTCAAGCAGTTCTTCTGCCTCAGCCTCCTGAGTAGCTGGGACAACAGGCGAGCACCACCACGTCCGGCTAATTTTTGTATTTTTAGTAGAGAAGGGGTTTTACCATGTTGGTCAGGCTGGTCCCGAATTCCTGACCTCAGGTGATCCACCAGCCGCCTGACCTCCCAAAGTGCTGAGATTACAGGCGTGAGCTACTGTGCTCGGCCTAATTGTTGTATCTTTTATAGAGACAAGGTTTCCCGATGTTGCCCAGGCTCGTCTTGAACTCCTGGGCTCAAGTGATCTTCCTGCCTCAGTCTCACAAAAAGTGCTAGGATTACAGGTGTGGCCACCATGCTCAGCAAATGCAATTCTTTATTCCAATGTTACTTGCTGAGAGAGGATGATCTGGGCCAGGTATTTGGAGTATCTCTCCACAGCCAATCACCCTGGTGCTTCGCATACATTTTCACAGTTTGCGAGTAGACAAAAAAGAAAAAAAAAAAATTGGCAGGGCACAGTGGCTCACGCCTGTAATTCCAATACTTTGGGGGGGGGCCCGAAGTGGGCAGATTGAGGTCAGGAGTTCGAGACCAGCCTAACCAACATAGTGAAACCCCCTACTCTACTAAAAATACAAAAATTAGCCGGGTGTGTTGGTGCACGCCTGCAATTCCAGCTTCTCGGGAGGCTGAGGCATGAGACTCCCTTGAACCTGGGAGGCGGAGGCTGCAGTGAGCAGAGACTGCACCATTGCACTCCAGCCTGGGCGTCAGAGCGAGGCTCCGTCTTTAAAAGGAAGTAAATAAGTTAAAAAGGTCTTTTACTTAAGTTGACAACTAAAAATTTAAGAAGTTTTTTTTACATCGTTCTCCCATAACATCGTGCAGCCATTTACCTCTACGGAATTAAAAGGGACCCTTCCAAAGGCTCGTTCTAAAAACGGAAAGCGTTTCTTCCCGCCACACACCTGCGGCACGTGCCTTGCTGCTGGTCACCTCCCGTGAAGCCGCTCCTGCTCAACTAGCTCTCGGCGGATCCCTAGGGACCGTTTTTTCGTTGAGCCAACCTGGGTCGGAAACAGGAAGGTTTTCCGCGGACTGGCCGGCGGTCGTCGGCTCCCCTTCCATCCCCGCGTAGGTCAAGGCAGGCGCGGCGGGCGGGCGGGCGCGGTCGGGGGCCTCCGGACGGCGGCTGCCCCGGCGCGGCGGTGCGGCGGAGGACGCGGCCGAGCTGGGCCGCAGGGGCTGCCGGGCAGCGCGTCTGGACCGGCCGGCGAGCCCGTGCCGGTCACATCCGTACCCGCTGCCCGGAGGCGTCTTCGCCGCAGCCTCCGGTTCCGGGTGGAGACGGACCTGGGTCATTCCGTCTCCGGTCTCGGGCACGTCCGTCCGGTCACTTCACCCCCGGGGCCTCTGAGGAGGCGGAACTACTTTGTCAGGAGTCGTGGTTTGCAAGGAGACGTCGTGGTCGGATTGACAGCGGTGGGGGGGTAGGCGGGACTTCCGGCTGGCTCTTCCGTCAGCTGCCTTCCCCGGGCGTCTCCCCGCAACCTCCTCAACTTCCCTCGTCAGTGACACGGCGCCGGGCAGACATCGACCGGACCGGGCTGGGGGAGCGCGAGCTGCAGGTGTGTGCATGTCCGTGCGTCGGTGTTTGAGAGGACGGACTGCGGGGCCGGGACCGCGAGGCGACGGCGGCCGAGGAAGAGCGGTGACAGCGAGGGCGGTGTGAGGCGGGGGCCGCCAGGCTACTGTGACCGAGGGCCGGTGACAGCGAGGGGACTGTGACCCGAGCGGCGAGGGCGGGACGCCTGGGCCCGGAGGGCGCTCGGGCCGAGGAGATGTGAGGCGGTGACTCCAGGGAGGCTGACCGATGGGTGGTGACTGTGAGGGACCCTGCCCTGCGGGAACGGGAGCCGCGGCCGCGGGGGCTCGGCCGGGGGCCGGCGCGCGTAAGAGTCGGATGGTACTGCAGGGTCGGGCCGGGTGCGATGGGCTGACCGCGCGGAGGCCGCGCGCGGAGGCCGCACGGGGGAGAGCGCCGCTCTGGGACTCCGCGGACGGGCCTCGCCGCCCAGTCAGCTTCCTCATCGGTGAATGGGAAGTTTGGACGAGTTTAACGTCTCCCAGACTAGGGGTTTCTTCCTGGTACTGGGCTGCGAAACCAATTTCGTGGATGGAACCTGTACTTTTCTTTTAAAAAGTGGCATAGGCTAGAAATTGTCGAGGTGTTTACATAGTAAGTATTGTTTCATGGGATTTGTTGGAGTCATGTGTGTATGACATTGTCACGTAAAATGGATTTTGTACATCTCAAAATGTAAGAAGCAAAGTGTACTTTAAAAATTTGGAAAAACACCGGACCAGAATATTTCTGAGTTGTCTTTTGGTTCTAAAACGTACTGATTCTATGAATAGGGAGCTGTTTGGAAGTACAAAGATGCACCTGGGAACAGACTGTGCTAGATTGGCTTACCTGGAGAAGGCTTCCTGAACGTAACTGAAGTGGCTCGCTATGAGAGCTGAAACTCGGCTTCTCAGTTGGGAGAACCAGAAATTATGTTGAAACAGGGACATTGGGCGGCTGTGGTGGCTCATGCCTGTAATCCCAGCTACTTGGAAGGCTGAGGTGGAAGGATCGCTTGAACCCAGGAGGCGGAGGTGGCAGTGAGCCAACATGGCGCCACTGCACTCCAGCCTGGGTGACAGAGGGAGACTCTGTCTCAAAAAAAAAAAAAAAAGGGACAGTGATATTTATAGAGGCAGTGAGGATTTAGCGGTGTGTGGTATGAGAAGCTGCTAATGAGGAATGGGAAGCTTTGAGAGTAGGAACAAGGGCTGGGAAGGAAACTCAAGATAGAGACAGAAAATACTCTGCCAACAAGAAACTGGAAGAAGGAAGGAAGATACGACCTCTAGAGCCTGTTCAGTCTTGATATTTAGTGATTCTGCAAGTACAGAGAATTGCTGGTAAAAAGATATTGAGAATGGGATTTGGTACAGTAAAGCAGTAAACAAATGACGACCATGACGAGAAAGAAAGGTGGACAAAACAATGACAGGCGCAGTGCCAGTAGTGGTGACTGGAATGCCGCATGCCAGAGACTTCGGTAGACCTAGCCATCCGATTCGGTGATGTGTGCACTGGAGGCCAAGATTGGCATGTTAGGAATGATACCACACTATGGGTAATTGAAGTGAAGTTTTAGCGGCTGATTTTACTTCCTACACATACCCTTTCATTAGGGCTGTTAGTGATGCAGATGAAATTAAAGTGAATGTTACTACTTCTTTCTCTCTTACAGCCCTTTTTATTTTATTTATTATTTTTGAGACCGAGTATCACTCTGTTGACGAGGCTGGAGTGCAGCGTCACCATCTCAGCTCCCTGCAACCTCTGCCTCCTGGGTTCAAAGTGATTCTCCCACCTCAGCCTCCTGAATAGCTGGGACTACAGGCGTGCACCACCATGCCCAGCTAATTTTGTATTTTAGTAGAGACAGGGTTTCACCACGTTGGGCAGGCTGGTCTCGAACTGCTGACCTCAGGTGATCCACCTGCCTCAGGCCCCCAAAGTGCTAGGATTACAGGCGTGAGCCATCACACCTGACCTTACAGCCCTTTTTAGAAGGTGCTATTGATTGTGTGACCCAGTGCTTTTTGAAAAGAATAATAGGACAAGTATGAGGTCATTTTAACTTACCAGACACTGTATTAATCCGACAACCACTCCTGTTCCCATACACTCTGTAACAGGGAAATAGAGTTCATATAGGTTCTTGAATGGGAACGAGTTGAGAATGGTGGGGAATAGCCTTTATTTTTGGCTAAAAAATTTGACCAGTTACACCTTTTTCTAGCACACTAGATGTTTACTTGACTTACAGTCTACATAACTAAAAGGAACTGCCCAAAGATTTCTTCTAGAACAGAATATATGCTTCAAGGTAACAGGTGATAGAAGAGGCTTGGGATTCTGCAGTACGTACTCCCTCTGGGGTCTTTTTTCTTTGATGAATGAAATGAATCTTTTAGTAGGACAAAAGATTTGCCTTGCAAATTCCCTTTGAAAACTAGTATGATGACCTGATTGATAAAGAATGAGCTTCATTACCCCTCAGTCTGTGATTCTCCTCCCATACACAGGTGGGGTTTTATTTTTCTTGGGGACCTGCTTTTTGGATATGTGATCCCTTAAGAAGAATGATCTAGTTAGAGAGAGCCCTGGCTTTAGCAGTCCCTGGTTACTGTCTCTGATGCTAACGTTGACTCGCTCTGTGACTTTGTATGGAAAGTATTATTGCTTTCTCTTCCTTCAGATTTTCTAACCATGGCCAGAGGTAACTGTTCTTATGATTAAACAGCCCTTTAATAATCAGAAATGTATGTGAACTTACCAACTTTTTATAATTTCATAGAGTTTGTAAACCATCTGACTCCATTTATAATTCAGAGCTGCCTAGCCTTTAGGTTAGACAGTATTTTCCTAGGGATCCGAATCACCTCTCCTAGAGATGTTATAAGAACTGATGAGATTTAGTTTTTGAAATGCTCAAATAAAAAGCAAGCATAATTTTCCATTGTTATCAATGATGGATGGTAGTAAAACATCTGTTAATAACAGTAGTTTTCCTACTCAAGCATCATGCTTTTCTTTCTAAGTATTTATATAACTTTGATCTGAAGCTAGACCTTCTGACTTTTCTTTTTCTTTTTTTTTTTTTTTTTTGAGATGGAGTTTCACTCTTGTTCTGCAGGCTGGAGTGCAATGGCGCAATCTCGGCTCACCGCAACCTCCGCCTCCTGGGTCCAGGCAATTCTCCTGCCTCAGCCTCATGAGTAGCTGGGATTACAGGCATGCGCCACCATGCCCAGCTAATTTTTGTATTTTTAGTAGAGACGGGGTTTCACCATGTTGACCAGGATGGTCTCGATCTCTTGACCTCGTGATCCACCTGCCTCGGCCTCCCAAAGTGCTGTGATTACAGGCTTGAGCCACCGCGCCTGGCGAAACTTGCCTTTCTTAATCAAGCAGAAATAGATCCCTCTTACATCAAAGTTTGTGTTACCTTGAAATAGATTGGAAAGAATACATTTTTCTAAGTCATTTTTTGCTTGGATTTTTTCCAGTTACAGAAACCCTAAAGTAAGAGCACTTGCCAATTATCTCAGGACTGTGAGAATCCTTTTTTTTGCTTAAGATTGTGGCTGGCTTCTTCTACATCTTTACATTATCACACATCAAGCATATTAGAAAAACAGGGGCTGGGTGCAGTGGCTCATGCCTGTAAATCCCAGCACTTCGGGAGGCTGAGGCAGGCAGATCACCTGTGGTTGGGAATTCAAGACCAGGCTAACCAACGTGGAGAAACCCTGTTTCTAATAAAAACACAAAATTAGCCGGGCGTGGTGATGCATGGCTGTAATCCCAGCTACTCAGAAGGCTAAGGCAGGAAAATCGCTTGAACCCAGGAGGTGGAGGTTGCAGTGAGCCGAGATCATGCCATTGCACTCCAGCCTGGCAACAAAAGGGAAACTCTGCTAAAAAAAAAAAAAAAAAAGAAAGAAAGAAAGAAAAGAAAAAGGGGTGACTTAGTAAAGGAAGAGTGAGGGGTCCGGACTTTAGGCTTGGCAGCCCTCTTGCTTATCTACTTGGTGATTTCTGGCATCTCCTTTTCCCTACGTCCTTCAACCCCTTTACTAAGCGTAAACCTTTCTGTTTTTAGTCCTAAGCTTCTCTTTTCACAGTATTCCTGTCAAATGAGTACGTGGACCCGTGTTTCATACATGATTTGTTTTGTTAATTGCTTTATGGATTATTTGTGGCAAAATTTAAATCCTAATTCCTTTCTACAATTCAGCCAGTAAATTCAGGGAATGTACTATTTTATGTTTGCAGTATGTGCCGAAGCTCCATCTAAGAAGATAAAATGAAACTGAGTCTCATATTTGGCATTCTTTTAGGTTTGTTTACGTACCTTATTCATCAACGTAAATAATTGAATTTGTTTGTATTTTACCATTCATAAACCAGGTTAGTAGACATATATTAATAGGGGGCTTTCTGTGTGTATGTGTCTTTCTTCCCCCGTCCTTTTTTTTTTTTTGAGCCAGAGTCTCATCTGTTGTCCAGGCTAGAGTGAAGTGGTACGATCTCAGCTCACTGCAACTTCCACCTCCTGGGTTCAAGCAATTCTCCTGCCCCAGCCTCCCTACTAGCTGGGATTACAGGCGGCACCACCATGCCCAGCTAATTTTTGTATTTTAGTAGAGTTGGGGTTTCACCATGTTGGCCAGGCTGGTCTCAAACTCCAGACCTCAAGTGATCCACCTGCCTCGACCTCCCAAAGTGTTGGGATTACAGGCGTGAGCCACGGTGCCTGGCCCCTCCTTTCTTTTGGGAATTCTCTTGTACCACAAGTTGATAGTTATATTAGTTTGAGGCTTTCTATGTTTGGACAAGGATGACTACCAGTGAGCCAGGGGAAGCATGAATCTGCTAGGCTGTTATATCACATCCACAACTACTTGCAAATCAGTTCTGAAGTGAAGGCTGCTAAAAATAATGACATGTGGTCTTTGCTCTATAGAAAATGAGCATATGACCCTTCATAAAAAATGGGTAGTT